TCACCATGAATCAGCTTGAGCTAGCGGGCCTTAGATTCCTCTAATTAATTTTAAAAACTGCATTTGACTTTCATGATTTTATATAAAGTTCTGCCTTTAAATACTACATGTATTCACTAAATATAACTAGCTCACCATCCAACCCAAATTGAAAGTATTCTTTAAAGCCATCACCTTCCTCTTTCTCACCTTTCAACTTCCTTTTACAGGGCCAATTTTCACAAAGAACCTAGAGTTCCTTTAAGAAAGGCAGATGCAGGGTCATGTCAGCTAAGTTCATTGGTTAGCCCTTCCTATTCCAGGCATGATCCAAACTCCTTGTTAGCCAAATGGCAAAGGCCACCTGTCATGGCTACTGTGTACTGTATCATAGGCTTGTAAGCAGACAAAGCTGCATTAGCCCTGGCTCCTCTTCTCCAGGTTTGACTCCAATGCTATGATTCAGCTTCTTACTTAGAATGCCTAATAAAAGCATTGTAGGCCTTCTCTCTCCGGAGTAAAAAGGAAGTAGAGTTTGAGACAAAATAATGCCACCTGTGGTCCCAGCTGCCCAGGGAGGCTGCAGTGGGAGATCAGCTGGAATAGCCTGGATAACATAGTGAGACCCTGTTGCTTTAAAAAGGAAAAAAAGAGGGGCTGGGAAGGTGGCTCAGTGGTAGAGCGCTTGCCTTGCATGCATGAGGCCCTGGGTTCGATTCCTCAGCACTACATAAGCAAAAAGAAAAAAGCCAGAAGTGGCACTGTGGCTCAGGTGGTAGAGTGCTAGCCTTGAGTTGAAGAGCTGAGGCCCAGAGTTCAGGCCCCACGACTGGACCCCCACCCTCACAAAAAAAAAAGGAAAAAAGAAGAGAGGGGGGCATAATAAAACTCACCAAACACTGTTTGAAAAGGAAGAGGAGAAAATAGAGGTGTGGCTTAAGTAGTAGAGCACTAGACTTGAATCAGAAAAAAAAGCCAGAGTAGAAAGTCTAGTTCAAGCCCCAGTATGGGCACCAAAAGGGAAGGAGAGAAAATAAATATGGGAATAGAGGGGGTCAACTTGCTCAAAGTCTACAGTGTACATGTACAATAACTCACCTTGTACTATTAATGTATGCTAATTTAAGAAATACCTTAAAATTATTTTTTAACTATTTAAAAAATATTTTATTTTTGCCTGGGGTTTGACTCAGGGCCTGAGCACTGTCCCTGAGCTGCTTTTTTCTCAAGGCTAGAGCTCTACTACTTGAGCCACAGTGCCGCTTCTCGCTTTTTCTGTTTACCTGGTGCTGAGGAATCGAACCTAGGGCTTCACACATGCTAGGCAAGCACTCTACCAATAAGCCTCATTCCCAGTCCCTAAAATAATTTAAAAAGAGCTGATGGCTCACATCTGTAATCCTAACTACTGAGGAGCCTTGAGATGTGAGGATCATGGTTCAAAGCCAGTCTAGGCAGACAAAATTGAGAGATTTTTTTTTTTTTAGGTTTGAAACTGGGAATCGAACTCAGCTACTGAGGAGGCTGAGATATGAGGATTGTGGGTCAAAATCAGTCTAAGACAAAATTGATTTTTTTTTTTAGGTCTTAAACTGGGACTGGAACTTGGTACCTGACCTATTTGTTCATTGGCTAGCATTCTACCAACTGAGCCACACCTCTCACTTTTAAATTGAGAGATTCTTAATTCTAATTAGACAGAAATGGGAGTGCAGCTCAGATGGCAGAATGCTAGCCTTGAGCAAAAAAACAAGCAAGCAGTGCCTCAGGAGGCTGAGATTCAAAGCCAGCCCAGGCTGGAGCTGTGGCTCAAATGGTAAAATGCTAGTTTTGAACACAAAAGCTCTGGGACAGTGTCAAGGCCCTGAGTTCAAGTCCCACTACTGGCACACATGCACGTACACACACACACACACACACACACACACACACAGTGTCAAGGCCCTGAGTTCAAGTCCCACTACTGGCACACATGTATGTACATATGTACACACACACACACACACACACACACACAGTTCACTACCAAAAGACAAAAGATTGGGAACAAAAAATTCCTAGGACCAGCTAATATCAAATTCTACATAAAGCAGAGCCCCATGCCCAGGCTTGGGCCCAACTTCTGAGCCGTCAAGATAGGATTCAACTACAGGGGTAGAGCCTCCCTCACTGCCCTCCTTCCCCCAGCCTTGGGCTTTAGTCCCAAAATAGTTGAGAACACATGGGAAATTCACACTCTAAAAATACTTCCTTCCCTCATGTAGGCAAGATAAGGCTGGAATGACGGTGGGTTGCTAAGAATATGGTTCACTCCTTATGTAACTCCTGTAGAAATAAAGGAGTGTGCTGGGCTAAAAATAGGGCTGAAAGGATTGGGAATAAATAGCACTGGAAAGTCATTGTTTACTCAAACTGCCATGGGGTTTGGAGAGCTTAAGTTTCCATATGCAGTCACTTGTTTCTTAGGTCCCACTGACTGGAGCCAGTCACGTTTCTGACAGAGGTTTAGTGGAAGCAAAGACGTTCAGAGGTAGCCACTGGAGGACAGTTGGGAGCAGGGACCATGAAGCAGGCCAGAGTTTCCTGGGTGCTGGGGTGGGTGTTGGCAGTATCCTTTGGTATGGGAGACAGGCAGGAGCTGAACTGAGTTGGCTGAAGGCTGGGCCACAGCAGGTAAAGCTGAGAGTGGGTCATGGAGCCCAGGACTGTTCCTCACAGCAACTGTCCGAGGGTCTCAGTGGGCAGCCAGGGCCTCCTTTTCACTGCCCACTCCAGTGCTCTAGCAATACCTGCCAATATCACATTGTCACGACCCTAGGTCAGTGGCCTCACTTGCTGGGATCACTAGAGGTTCCCAATGTTGCAATCTAGCCTGGCCCACACCCACACCCATCTGTGTAAGCATCTGTGCAGAGCCTCACCAGGCCTAGGAGGGTTGATCACTGCAATGCTTCCTCTCCAGAGCAAATTCTGCTTTTGAGTGTAACTCTTCTTCATGAGTCTTCCCCAATACCTTAGGATTGGGTTTGAATTTAGGGCCTTGAGCTTGCTAGGCAAGCACTCTACCACCTGTACCATATGCCTAGTCCCTATGTTTCAAGCAAGTCTCTCATTTATGCTTTGCTTACTCTTGAGATCAGCTAGTCTGAAACTTCATCTTCCTCTCACATGCTCTTGAGTCACCAGTCCCTCCCTCTGCAAAGCCTTGTTAGAAGGGAAACGAGGTGTGATGGTTCATCTCCTCAACTTGATTAAGTTAGTAAAGCACTCCTTTGGGTACGTTTAAGTCTTCTGGGTGTAATTCTCTCCCATTGTCGGTCTACAAGGTCCTGCCCCTCACTTCACTTACAAAGGCCTTTCTTGCCCTTTCCTTTCCCTTACAGTCGTGACTCTGAGGGCCAAGTCCTCTCATGCACTGTTTATTGCTGTCTCTTCAATTCCATGAATAGTGTCTGGCACATAGCAGGGTGATAATAACTGCTGGGCTAATGAATAGAATATAAATACTTAGGGTTGAATTACAAACCAAGAAAAAGCTGGGTTATTTTGGTGGTGTAAATACATATAGGTGGAAGAGGCCTTGAACTGAGGACATTCCATGTTCACTCCAAAATCATTTATGTACTTCAGTGGAGCATAGTACTCTGTTGAGGTTAAAAACAAAACATTGAAGGTGGTACACTCCTATAATCCCAGCACCTCAGAGAATGAAGCAGAAGATCAGCCTAGGTTCTATAGCAATATTGTCTTAAAAACACAAATCACTGAAGATATAATTGCTACCCTCCTTCCAAGGAACTTACAATTTGAGATGCAGGGTGGGAATGTACTTGGCCTCCACGAGCCTGGCTAAAGGGTCCTTTCCTGCTTAGTTACTAACATGGCCCTCAAGATACAGCCCACATTTCTTGCTCTGGCTTCCCAGATCTTGCCTTAGTTTACATCATTTGGGGGGGGGGGCGGGGGTCCAGTCGTGGGGCCTGAACTCTGGGCCTGGGCGCTGTCCCTCAGCTCTTCAGCTCAAGGCTAGTGCTCTACCACTTGAGCCACAGCACACCACTTCTGGCTTTTTTCTTTTTGCTTATGTGGTGCTGAGGAATCGAACCCAGGGCCTCATGCATGCAAGGCAAGCGCTCTACCACTGAGCCACCTTCCCAGCTCCTACCACATCATTTTCATTTCTTGCCCTTCCCCACTCTGGATAATCCAGTCAAATAGAAACACTGACTGTCCTACTTTTTCATTTCTGGATTTGTGCCTGTTCTAGCAGCCCCCACCCCACCTTGCCACCTTGACAGTTAGCTTACTGTGTAGCACCACCCAGTCCTGGGACCTTCATGGAGTGGCCTTGGAATGCTCAGAAGGAAGACAAGCCTGATTGTGCAAGTATTCTCACATGCCTGCCTGAGCCACATTGAGCCGCACTTGCTGATGTTCACTGAGCAGAGAAAGACATGGCTACTGCAAATGAAGTGGATAGGCAACTGCATCTCTGATGGGGCAGCAGCATGCTCACAGTGAAGAGATGGGGAATACTCTCTTTTCTAGAAGCTTGCTGAACTTCCCATTTGCAGCTCCTACTTACCTTCTGCTCTCAATCAGAAATCACATCGTCTGGGATGATTTTTCCCAGAGCCAGAGAGAAAAATCCTTCCTCCTAACACCTGCCCACTCACTGCACTGAACCCTCTACTGTCCTAGTGAATGCATGAATGGATGTTTGGGCTAGATGTCCAGCTTGCACTCTTGAGTTTACTGACCATCACAATCCTATGTAACATCCAAAGGTCCAAGAAGAGGGGTATGCTGTAGGTTCTGTATCACTGCCTGATACCGAAGTTGAGCATTTCAAAATGTTAATGAAATGAACAAGCGCATGACATAAAAATAACAGTAATTTCCTTTAAAGAAGACTCATTGCTTTGTAAGAATCAAGAGACAAATCTTTAGGAAGAGCTGACAACACCAAGTGAAAAGAAACTGAAATGTCCTCAGAGTGGAGAAAATAAGGGGAAATTAGCCACAGAAACAACACTGTCATTTTTATTAGATTTATGATGCTGTTCTAAAGTCCAGCCTCTCCAGTGTAGTTTTTAACATCCTCTGAAAGCAGATAAGTGCTGATAGAAACATCACCTACTTGGTCTGTGTGGTCTAGCAGTGCAGGGCAGCATCTTGGAGAAAAGGGTTGTAAGGGGAGTGTATCTGAAGGCTACTAACCTCCTACTCACATTATCAATGTGTGTCTCACATACTATATATGTATATAACTTTTACAAAAATAATTTAACAATTTGCACAGTTCTATCAATTCACTAAAATTACACAGGCAGAATTTATGCTTCAATATAGCTATTTGTAACTTTGGATTAATGTAGTAATTTTATGCCTAAAATTAATTTACAATTACTAAGCAAAGGCCATAGAGCAACACAGAATCAGTACACTGTGATCCTCACAAAAACAGGACATGTGGCACTGTTATCCTTACAGTTATGCTACACATCCTCATTGGGTCATTTTCTTCTTTTTGATTAAACGCAAAAGCAAAATAGTGCATTAAAGTAATCCTGCACTCTTTACATTTCGCATATATACTAAGTGCCACAAGGGCACTGCTAGGCTGTGCTCATTGCTGCCTCCTCAAATGAGCTACCTAGCCAGCAGACCTCGAAGGAAAGCATGCTTTGTGCCAGGGAAGGGGAACCCTGTGCAGGCTAAGACTCACACAGTACCACAAGAGCAGACAGGAAAACACATCTTACAGGATATGTATAAAGTAATTTGCAATGACATTTCATGTACAGTTTAATTAGAATACATTTAAGATACAGTTACACGGAAAAACAAAAACAGATTCTAGGCGTTCTCCTGGAATATTCCAAGTCATCCTCAAAAATTAGTGTAATAAAGCTGACCACCAGGTGATTGAATAAACAAAATAAAATATAGTAATTTAAAAACAGATTCTTTGACTAGAAGTTACCACCAAAATACCTGGAAATCTGAGTTGAGATTATTTTTTATACTTGATATTAATAAGTAAAACCATTAAGTGTTTACACAGACTATGATGAAGGCAAGACCCCAGCCCCAAGGACAGGCAGAGGAGAATACAAAGAATGTTGTTCCACTACAGTGAGGATAGATGACCTGTTGAGTTCTGGTTTCCCTCATATACAAAGGCCATCTCCCCACAGCACAGCCTCAGGCAGTCCCTCTGCAGCATGAGCCAGGAGCTGAGAGTCCTTCAGATGCTGGTGTGACCTTTGCTCATTTGGCTGGAAGGGGGCCTCTCCCCAACACTCAGGTCTCCCCCTTCCGTCTCCCTTCCTTACCATCCCACAGGAAACAGTGCTGCCTCTACAGCCCACAAGGAAGCTGAAGATTTAGAAGAAGGAGGTATCTGATGAGAAGGCACCTGCGAGTCTGAAATCCTCTTTGGTGAGGACACTGTACATCCGCTGTGGCAGCGCCCTGGAGTAGGGAGCTGGGCGGGGCACAGAGGCACGCAGGATGAGCTCCCGGCCTGCAGGAGGGGGGAAGTCCGACACGGAGTTCTGCCTCCTTTCCTCTAGGCTGCCGGTTCTCTTCAGTTCCTCCTCTGGTGGAGCCATGGCTGCAGACTTGAACAGAATCAAATGCTAAATTCAACAGCAAGTCTAAGGCTAAACTCAGGTAATTTTGAAGGACAGATGAATAAACATGATAAATAGATTAAAATGTTCTACATTACTCTGTAATGCAGTCAGCTATGATTACTCAAAAAAAATGCAAGAAGCTTGAAACACTGCATGAGCCACTAGCTTGGAGAGAGAAGAGAGAATGATCACCAGGCAATCTGCTTTGAAAAGTGAGGACCACATCTGAACATCTAATGGAAACAGACCATGAAGCTGTACTGGTTTCCATGCTTCTTCAAGTACTGACTCAAATTCAAATTGGATATCCTAATCCAGTAAGAAGCTATTTCTTTCCAGAGCCTGGAAAGATAATTTTTATCTCAACTCATTCAGTCAATTCTTAAAATTCACTTGCCAAATTAAAACAAAGACACTGGACAGCTAATGTGATAAGATAGAGATACAGATAGCAATGGCAACAAAAAAGTTCTCAAAAAGGCATCAAGTCCCTCCCCACCTCCCACCCCCCATTATAATTACACAAAATAGGACACGTTCTGGTTATCTAAGCTACTCGGGACACTGAGATCCAAAAGATCTTAGTTCAAAAGCCAGCCTGGGCAGAAAGTCTGAAAGACACCACTTCCAAAATAACCAGCAAAAGCCAGTGGTTTGTGACATAGCTCAAATGCACAGCACTAGTGGAGCAAGCAAGCTTAGCAAGCGTGAGGCCCTAGTTCAAATTTCAGTATCCACTCCCCCCCCCCCATTTAGTTAGAGCCTTCATTCTTAATTCTGATTACTATACTTCTTTTTTAATACCACTGCTTTGGGGGGGAAAAAAGTTCTAGCAATGGAAACATGAGCTCATGTTAAGTTAAACATCAGCAGGAAAATATGCCAGACCCAGACTATTAAAGAGGTTAGTTTGAAAGATCTTATGAAGTTAGAAAATGGGAAAGAACAAGGAACCATGAGGGACAAAGGCTATTTTGTTACCTCATCAGAAGATTCAGTCAGCTTTGGGAAAGGGTGAGAAAAGAAACAGTGATGAAAGGGAAACAAGCAAGATGGTTTAAAAAGAGCTGGACAGATTCCAGGATTATTTGACAGCATGCACTACATTAAGAACATGATTCTACCAAAAGAAAACTTAAGATGCACAAAGTCACATCATATACAACACACCTGGCCAGCAAACAGAGCAAATACATCTCACTACTCATGCATCATCTGATGGTTCAACAGGTGACATACAGGGTGTCATTTGATGAGGAAATGATTGAACAAAAACCTAGATCTTTTTCTGCAGAACTATTTCTAAAAAAGTACTCATGGCTTGAAAAACAGTATTCAGCAAGATCAACTCAAAATCTAGTCTTTCTTTTACTGAACTCCACTTAAATATAACAAAGGCATATTGCTATCAAGTTAAAATTTTCTTTAAAGTTAGAAATTGTTATAATGTAAGGTAATACATGCTATTAAAATTCTCTATGAGGGCTGGGATGTAGCTCAGTGGCAAAACGCTTGCCTAGCAAGTGCAACGTCCTGGGTTCGATCCCCAGTACCAAAAAAAAAAAAAAAAGAAAAGACAAAAAAAAAGTTAAAATTCTCTATGAAAAATGTTAAAATCTGTGAATAAAATAGATAAAAATGTCATAAATTATAAAAAGTTAGATAAGTGAACTTGAAGTTTACTGTGACCACATATTTAAGAGCAGTTTGTAGCTGTACCATATAGGTTTGTTATATGGAGTACACAGTTTACAGACTACGTACAATCATTCATTCACTACAAAATCTGAAAGTTTACACTTTAAATACTGAAGAAGTTAAATCATTTCAAAAAGTATGAGGTCTGAAAGCTTAAAATCATTTAAAAATTATATGGTATGAATCTACAATTTCATTGCTGGTTAAAAAAGGTTAGCTATATGCTAAAAAGATATACAAAAAGATATACTATTGGATACTGAAAGGTATCTTCAGTGGAAAACAAAAATAAAGCCATCTTATTTTGGTGAAATATATCTTTAATTACTAGGTACTAGTAATTAACAGTGATAATTGTTAGATACTACAACAGTGATTATTTTTATTTTTCTACCTGCATATGGTTGAAGTGAGGTGGCTGTTTCTGTAACTCAAACAAGTAATACTTATAGGGATGGGGAGAAATGTGATGAAAGGGATGACACAGATCAAGATGCATTGTATTCATATACTACTTTGTTGAATGGCAAATCCTTTGTACAACTAAAGATAAAAGAAATAAATAACATCCAGCACTAGAAGCATTTTCTAAAGAATTTTCTAGAAAAATGATCAAAGGGAAAGATTTTGTGATCTAAGGCAAGTTTATCTATGTGTGAATGATAAACAAAATGTGATTGCAGCCTCTGCACAAAAGCTAGAAGACATTACAGGACGTAAAAACAAACTCCATTCCTGCTTTCATGCTAGAGACAAAACCAAAAAAATGAAAGCAAACATTTGTTTCCTGAAAGTCTAATTTATAAGGAAATAAAATAACTGGTCTTTAATTTGAAATTCTGGAAAGTCAGGGAGATACTCCATAAATAAACTGGCTTTTAGTTTGTACTTCAAGTATATTTTAACATATTTTTGAGTGTCTAAGTAGACGCATTCCAACTCAATAGGTACAAAATTGTTATGCTATGTGTAAACCAAGAAAAATTCTATTTGGTTCTAAAAATTACATTGTTAATACTAAACTGCTATAGAGTGCTTTCCTAGCATACGAGTAACCCCAGGTTCAATCCCCAGTATTACAAGAAGAAAAATACATGAATATAAACACCACAAATGAAACCCCTCTATAATTAATTTGTGCTAATAATTTTTCTTAATGGAACACTGTTCTAATTTCTAATGTCACCCCAGTTCCAAGTAGAAGAACCTATATTTAGTGAATATAACACTTTTACCAGAATCTATATTAACCGTGCCCTGATGAGAATCATCTATAGGATACTAGCACCTCTTAACTATAATTTTGAAACTCTTACGTTCATTAGCAGAGATAATGATGATAATTTTCCAAACTGGGCTTTCTTTCTGTACCTAAGTCTGTCTCTAATGTCCTAAAAATCTGTACAAAGTTAAGTCTCTTAACCATTTTAAAGCTACTTGGATTCACAATCTGTAATGTAAATCCATTTTGAAGTATGCTGGGTTTACAGATAGCAAAACCGAACTCTACACTGATTTGAAAACATTTTTTTCACAGCACAGCTCTGGCCATTGCTAACAAGCCCTTGCCAATTTTTGAATGTATTTGAGACCCTTCTAATCCTGAAACTTAGATTCTATGATGTACTTATTATTTTACTTAAATATGCTGCAAAGCCAATGGATTTCAAAGTCACAGAGTCAGTTACTTCACTGTACAAACCCAATGCCCAGACATCTCAGCAGCTGTGGGTATAATCAGCCATGTGTGGAACTCAAAACCACATTTTCCTGAGCAAATCTGTTGTGATGCTGATAGTTAAGGAATCTCACATACCCTCTGAGCATTAACAAACAACTTGTGAATGATCCTGCCAGCATGTCCTCTTCCTGCCCCGGTGACTAACACTTCAGGCTGCTCCAATAGGCAGCTCACAAACCTAGGAGAGAAGAACAGTGTAAGTATGGCAAGCCAGCTGCTGCCCAGGCCACCTATGCACATGTCTACATGACAAATCCTACCATTGACACTGGCAAAACTTACCAATGCTGGAATGGAAATATTATAGGATATGATATTCTAATTTGATTACAATCAACTTCACTTTTTAAAAAAATTTGTCAGTGTAAGAAATACACATTTTTTCATACTAGAAGTTTAGAAAACAAAAGATCAAAAAGTGTTTTTGGAACAATAGAAATCAATTTTATCCAGAAGAGCTATGTCTATATGATTTAAAAGATGTATATGTGTTTTAAATACATGCTTTGCTGGGAAAAGTCACAATTATAAGCTGTGCCATTGTGTGCCCGAAATACTGTACTTTCAAGCATGTCACAAATAGTATATGGTGGGAGAAGGAGTCAAAGGCACAGAGCCAGCAAGCTACTCCACTTGCTTACTAATTTACACTGCTATCTTAGAAGCAATTCCCTTGATTACAGAGTATTATTCTTATTTAAAAGGAAGGATGGGACAAAAGATCCAGTATTAAAATAAGAATTTCTCAAGAGCTATAACCAATGCTTTGTCATATATTATTTATCATTAATAATGACTTTTCGTCTAGAAAAGCTGAGGAAAAAATTTTAAATTGTGACGAATTTATGCTGCTAAGTCAGTTTCGAAACACTTTCTCACATATTAAAGAAATGCTGCCCTTTTGAGTAATGGGGACAAACTAGAAATGGAGGTGTGTCTCAAGTAGTAAAACAGCAACCTTATGTAAATACATGTGCACACAGTTAAGTAAGATAGGCAAAAATGGCCATAGACTCTACTGGTACTGCTTGCCTCACTGGAAGAAGCCACTGGTCACTTCCAAATCATACTTGCCAAGTACATAGAATGTGTACTTTTGCTATCACATTTTTTTTTTGTCAGTACTGGGGCTTGAACTCTGAGCCTAGGCGCAGTCCCTAAGCTCTTCAGCTCAAGGCAAGTGCGCTACTTCCAGCTTTCTGGTGGTTAATTGGAGAAAAGAGTGTCAAAGACTCTGTCACAGGCTGGCTTTGAACCTGAGTGGCTAGGATTATAGGCGTGAGACACTGGTGCCCAACTTAATCACCAATGTTTTAAATAAATACTTAAATAAATATGATCAGATATGTAGTTTCCGTACACCTTGTGCTGTGGAACAAGGAACAGTGAAAGCAGGCAGCCCAGTGAGGGCCCTGCGAACACTGGAGGAAACAACTCCTCCCTAGGACACCTCAGGCATCTAAGAGCACAGCACCTAGTAAAACAGGCTACTAGAGTTTCTGAAAGTAAGAACAATGGAAATACCTAGCAGAAAGTCATTAAATCCTAAGACAAATCAGTATTTTTCTGTCTTTGGTCAAATAACATGATTAAATCACAAAGAGTCTAAATATTCTATTCCAATTTTTATTTTTTAAAGACACTGGTGGCTTTTCTATTGCCAACAAAACTGGAGAAGCTAAGTAGCAATTACCTTTCAAGATCATCCTTTTCTTCTTCTTGTTCACATTTCTCAGTTCCAAACTTGGCTTTCAGAGACCGGGCTCTAGCAATTATAGCTTCCACATTAGTAATTTGATGGATGATCTCCTAGCAGTGGAAAAGGGGGAGGAATACATAAAGAGACTATGAAGAAGAAAAAAAAAAACTTTAAAAACAGATCTTTGCCAAAGATTCTGACAGTACATCAAACTTACTTCCAATTTCTTGTCTTCTGGATTGGGAAAGTGCAAAACTTTACTGGAATGGGATATGATTTGCTTTATAATCTTCTTCACAGAAGAAATACTCTCCAGACTTTCTATTTTTAAAAGAATCAAAGCAATCATTAAGTAAATTAAGGGAAATATATTTTCATTTGGGAAATGAACTAATGAAATAAGACATTTATTTACCTTCTTCCTTTACCTTGAGAACAGCTGCATGAATCACACAAGGTAGAAGATGCCGAGCAAGGTCTGCAGGTTTCTGGACTGCCAGATAGTGCAGCACCTGAAGGAGGCACACATTACACGATGATCACTGCTGGTATAAAGAATAAAGAAGCCACTTTGCAATGTACAAAATTCCTCACCTCAGCTCACCGTGCTTTTCTCTTTCTATCTAGCTGTGCTCACCTGGAGAAGCAGCTGCCATTAACTAAGGTAAGAATGATATAAGAATGAACATTTTAGGGGCTGGGAAGGTGGCTCAGTGGTAGAGCGCTTGCCTTGCATGCATGAGGCCCTGGGTTCGATTCCTCAGCACCACATAAGCGAAAAGAAAAAAGCCAGAAATGGCGCTGTGGCTCAAGTGGTAGAGCACTAGCCTTGAGCTGAAGAGCTGAGGGACAGCGCCGAGGCCCAGAGTTCAGGCTCCAGGACCGGACCAAAAAAAAAAAAAGAATGAACATTTTAGCCAGGCGCTAGTAGCTCACACCTGTAATCCTAGCTACTTAGGAGGCTGAGACTGAGGATCAAGGTTCAAAGCCAGCCCATGCAGGAAAGTTCATGAGACTCCTATCTCCAATTAACCACCAGAAAACAGTGACACTGTGGCTCAAGTGGTAGCGCACTTGACTTGCACTGAAGAGCTGAAGGACAGTACCCAGGCCCAGAGTTCAAGCCTCATGACTGCCAAAAAAAAAAAAAAAAAGGATATACTGTAAACCTAATACTCAACAGATTTCAAAAATAAAGACACAAGTGATACAGCAATTCTCCTGAAATCCTTTTCTACAGGATGCTTACTTTTCCCTCTTCTTTTCTTTTCCTTTAAAGGGTATTGATCCCATTACGTAGTCATTACATAGTCATGCACTGCTTGACTGATGATATTGGGATATTCTAAGAAATCTGACAATGTCATTGCATGTAAACATTAAAACCTAAATGGTATGTCAAACACTGGACATATCCTCTTCATGCAATAAGAAAACTTTGTAAGCAGGAGCTATGAGAAAGACAACAGTGTGACACAGTTCTTTTACAATAACCTTTTTCTATAAGCAGAAATATGCTCTAAAATAATGATTCAAAGTATACTAAACATATATACAACAGTTGTCTATTATCATAATCAAGTATTATATAGTATAGCTCTGTGTGTGAATGTTACCCTTTTATACAACAGGCAGAATAGGTTTTACACAAGTATCAACATAATGAATGCCTTGCACTACAATGTTCTAATGGTTGCACCATCACGAGGTAATAGGAACTTTTCAGCCCCTTTTAAGCTTATGGAACCTCTTGGGCACATATGGTCCACTGATGACTGAAACATCACTAAGCAGTCAGGACTATATTAGATTATCTCCATGCTCACTTCTAGTTCAATAATATTTAATCCCCTCAGCAAGTGCTGTGAGCTACCAAGCCCCACTGGTACTTGGTGTTTGGCTCTCCTCACTCTAGTGACTATGCTTTAATACTATATCTCTTGGTCCCCTTTCTCAAGAATCCTCAAGCATACCTGCTACATATATGAGCTTACAGCAGTGGGAAATCCAACGGGTTTTTGCTTCTCTACTTAATACTGTTATTTTGAAAGTTATCTCTATCTCCTCATAATGCTGAGGTAATTACTGATTTCAAGGAGAATAAAGAGGGTATGAGGGTGGACAAAATAACCTGGTAACAGGAAGGCATTACTAGACTCCAGAACTGCAAATATCTTGACATCTGCAAAGCAGTCTCCTCCATGGATAAGCTATAATTTATTGAGCCCTCATCTGTGGAAATTTTGGCTGTTCCTCTTTTCACCAAAGAACATCGGTGGACATCGTTCATATACATAGATCTTTGTGTATTTCTCATTATTTCCTTAATAAGATGTTTGGGTAGAACTGCTAGGCGAAAAGACATGTCCCTTTATTAATACTTCTGATACATACTCTGAGACAATACAGTAGGGGTAAGCATTCTTGCGGACTTAAATGTCTATTTCCAACCAGTTCTTAAATTTTTAAATGTAAATTCTTCATGTATAAGAGTCTCACTGAATTTCAATGCTTTGCTTGTCAACTGTGTCCAAAATTCTCAAACCTATGATAATGAATTTCTAGTTTTCAAGAAGAATTAGCATTCTAGTATTAATATCCCAAACCTCCATTACCTTTTCAGCTTCTCGGGTATCATCAAAAAGCCTCCTTTGCCTCCTAGCAGGAACTGGTTTAGCTGTTTCCCAGGCTTCTACCCACATGTTGCTTGGGATCTTCATCCGGGCACTCAATTCTCCTTTTAGAACTACATTGCCTTTTTCATCAGTCACCTCCTCTTCAATGTAATCCCGGGGTGAGTACCACCTCACAAAATCTTCCAGAAAGCAACCTGGGTTAGCTGCCTAAAGGAAAATAATACATTTGGTGAAAACAAATTAAAAGTCAACATTTGACATTTACTGCTAAGGCTGTTTGCAGAATCAAACTTTGATTTTCAATAACAAAACTATCTTTAAGCTAGGTGCTAGTGGCTAGAACCTGTAATCCAGCTGCTCAAGGAGGCTGAGAGCTGAGGATCCAGGTTCAAAACCAGCCCAGGGGGAAGGTGGCTCAGTGGTAGAGCGCTTGCCTTGCATGCATGAGGCCCTGGGTTCACTTCCTCAGCACCACATAAGCAAAAAGAAAAAAGCCAGAAGTGGCACTGTGGCTCAAGTGGTAGAGCGCTAGCCTTGAGCTGAAGAGCTGAGGGACTGCACCCAGGCCCAGAATTCAGGCTCCACAACTGGAGGACCCCCCCCCAAAAAAAAAAACAGTCGAGGAAGACAATTCAGAGGAATTTATCTCTAATCAGTAAAAAGCTTACACTGGCAGAGCATAAAAGAAAATGTCTCAATACACACAGCAGAAATAGATCAATCTTGAATTTCCAACTATTAATAGTTGTTTTTTTTTTGATACTTAAGAAACAGCTGTGACTCTGTTCTTTGAGGGATGGAGGTGGAGTGTTGTAACTATTACTGCAATCCAATACTTAAAGAAAAGACATATAATGGCTTTCATATTGCTATATAGAGTAACTTTCACGGTTTCATCCCAGAATACCTCAAAGTAGACCTTAGAGCTCTGAAAGTGTGACCCACCTTAAAAGACTCCATATCTGAGAGCAGACAGGCACTCTGCATGCGTGCTCGGAGGTGAGCCCCTTCTGCTGATGTACCTAATTTAGCTAAGACCTCAGACTGCTCCTCTAGCAGATCTTCTGTCATAGGTGCTGGTTCCTGTGAAGTAAAAGCGAACAAAGAACAATCCTTTTTAGACAAAGCAAAACTATAAAAATAGAACAAAGTCAGCAATCATTTCTGCTCTTAAAGCACAAAATAAGTATTTGAAAGAATTCAGAGAAATTTTTCAGAATCTACCTTTACAAAGTAACAAATTAAGAACACACATGACTCTCAGGTCTCTTTCTCTTAATGGACAAATGTACCATGTTTCCCTTGACAAAGACTGAGAGCTAACAGATAGGAATTGGTTCTAGTACACATTTTCCTGCCCATTTAATGGTATAGAAGTGAAGTCTTAATTTTTATTAATACATATCATCATTGGTTGCAGAAAGATTTAACATAATTAACAGAAATGGTTCCATATAGAAAAAATGGGAGGAAACTTCTCAACAGTGATTATGTCTCTGGTTATGGAATTAAGAGATTTATTTTTATGTTTTCTTTGCTCTGCAATGAATGGACAATACTTGTAACTATACAACAAGTAACAATATTCTCACATGGACTCACAGGCTGCAAATGGTTAGTGAGGTGGTATACTGGTGAAGGGTTTGGCTATCAATGACAATATGTCTGTTTTTGAATCCCAGCTCTATGATCTTGGAATTTAATCACTCAACATTTCAGATACTCATTATAAAGACTAAATCCTGGCACACATTCAATAAAAACTAGCCATTGCAAACAAAACATTTAGATTATATTAAAGCATCATATTATACTTTCTCTTTGGCTAAGTTAAAATGTTTAGTCAAGACGAGGCAGGGCAACAAGTTGGATTAGAAGTGCTAAACCATTTTTGCTCTATGAAAACAATCCAGGTAACACAGGAGAGACTATATTCTAGAGAGAAAGGAAGGGTGTCAGGATTAAGGAAACAGGAGGCAGTACAGTAGAAAAGCAGAGAAACAGAGGAAACTGAAAAAAGTAGCAAACAATTCCAAGCCAGATCCCTAGCTCTCTTGAGGAAGTGTTCTGAGGACACCATCATAAGGTAAGTCAGATGATTCTAGTAACTAATAACTCTAGTTGCAGGATAAGCCTACACTCCCACAAAATTTAAGTCCCCAGAGCAAGGATTTGGTGAGGCAGTGACTACTCTGGGGTAGAAGGGTGGCCTCAGTAAACAAAGTATTTCAATTGCTCCCCTCATCTCAAAGCTATAGCAAGTTGCTATTGTTGGAAACCTATTGTTTGAGACTGAACTACTCTGAAGACTTGAAAACAAACAGCACAGTTCAGGGAGTTGTTCACATCCTGACACAGTGTATGTGTAGAAGACAGCTATAAGAGGTGGTCATGGCCAGGGAGAAGGTCTAATGTAGTCCTTCAGAGAAGTTCCAGAAACTTGGAACTCTGGCAGTGAGGACACAGTAGTTAGAGGCCCTTTACTTCCTAGCAAGAAGTCTTATCATCTGAGGGTTAAAGCAGAAGCATGTCTCTGGCTGTTATAATTTTTGGCCTCCAGGGCCTGTCATCCAGACTACATGTAGTGGTGGCTGCTAGTTGGGTCTGAACATTCTGCATCCAGATCCTCTGAATCACTTGAGAACCACCACCTCCTCATACCTATGTGATGGTAAACTGCTCGATGAGGTCAGAAAACCTTGTGGCCCAACTCTGGGAACCTCATGCCAGCATGTGTTTGTTTCTAGGCAGGCCCAAGAGCCCAAAGACTAGAACTTCTGAATGTGTCTTCCACAGCCTCCTGCCTACACAGGTAGGTGAACTGCTAGGCAAAGCCTCAAAGTCCTGAAACCTGTCTTTGTGAACTACATTCCAGATGCTTGCTGTCCTTGAATTCAAACCTCTGAAACAAAAGCCTTCCATAGCTACCTCTTCCCCATAGTAGAGGAATGCTGGATGGGAGTCCGTAAGCACTGAGATCAATCAGCAGGCAGAAGCACCTAGGTCTCTCTATTCTCCCTTAGGCAGTGCAGAACTCAGTGCTGTTTTCTTTCCCTCTCTTGACAAATTTAGGGGATAGCCCTAGGCTTGGATACTTGATGCAGCCAGTAACGTAAACTGGGGGTCTTATAGAACAAGTAGAAACTTGCTGGGCCCAGAGGATTTTAAAGCTCCCTGTGACCAGCATTGCCTCCCAGTAAACCAAGGAAAGCATCAATAGTGAAAGCAGTCCAGAAGTGTACAACCAACTCTTCTACAGGAGCCTCCAATCAGACTTATGTAACTGTAAGACCTCTGTACATCACCTTTATAATAATAATAATAAATCTGAGCCAGGCGCCAGTGGCTCATGCCTGTAATCCTAGCTGCTCAGGAGGCTGAGATCTGAGGACTATGGTTCAAAGCCAACCTGGGGAAGGAAAGTCCGTGAGACTCTTATCTTCAATTAACCAGTAGAAAACCAGATGTGGTGCTGTGGCTCAAGTGGTAGAGAGCTTGCCTTGAGCTGAAAAGCTCACGGACAGGGCCCAGGCCCTGAGTTTAAGCCCGAGGACCAACCAAAAGCAAAAAAGAGAGACTCCAGATAGTTTTCCTTGATCTGAGCAGATCTGGCAAAGTGAGTTTAAAAAAAAAAAAAAGACATCACATGTATCGCTTACAAAGATAACAGGCTTGGAGTGAAAAAAAAGTAGTTATATTCCTATCTGACAAAGCGAACTGTAAATCACAATTGGTGAGAAGAGACATTTTTGTTTTGTGTGTAGGTTTATTTTTTTCCTTCACATTAAAAACAGAAATAATCCATGAGGAAGCTTTAACAAATGTAACAAACATTCACCTCTTTTTCATAAAGTAAACAGTACTGAACATAAAAACACAGACAGACCCTAAGTACAGTAATGGTAGGTGACCTTAATGCCCCACTCTCAGGAAAGGCCAGCCAGATGAAATCAACAAGAAAACTTCAGAATTAAAACACTAGAGCAAATGGACTTATATGACATCTACAGAACATTCTACCCAACAGGAGAGTACATATTATTTATTCTCAGCAGCCCATGGAACTTTCTCCAAAACATATAATAACTTAGGACATTATGCAAGTTTTAACATAAAAAAGTGGAATAATTTCCTGTAACATCAAATCACAGTGGAATAAAACTAGAAATCACTAACAAGAGAAGCTAAAGGAAAATATCCATATAAATGGAAACTAAGCAATTCACTATTAAATGATCAGTGGATCACTGAAGAAATAAGGAGAGAAATTAAAAATGCCTAGAATCAAATAAAAATGAAAAACACAACAACCTTTGAGACATAGCAAAGGTAATTCCAAAGGAAAGTTTATTACTAGAAGTACCATCATTAGAAATCTAGAATGCTGAGATGTAACCAAACAATATATCCCAAGCTCTTAGGAAAACATTAAGTCAAACCAAAATCAGCAGATGGAAGAAATACTATTAAGAACAGGACAGAAATTAACACATGGAGACTAAAACCACGATATAAAGAACCAATGAGGCTGGATGACACGGGCAGCAGGATGACCAACAGCTGTCCTCATGTCCTCATAGCTACAGCACAAGGAAAAGAAGGAACTCTGCTCAGGGTTCAGTGCTCTTTCATTTCCACTTGACCAAACATTCCATGATCCATTGCTCAGCATCCCCCAAACTTCAAAGTACTTATTGAGCTCTCTCTCTGTTCTTTTCTAGCTCTCCCTGCTCTCTCTGCTCTTGGCTCTCTCTCTCTCTTCTGTCTCTCTGCTCTCTCTCTCTCTCTGCTCTTTTCTAGCTCTTTCCTCTCTCTTTCCTCTCTTTCCTAGCTCTCTCTCATTTCCAGGCCTTTCCCAGCCAACCTTGCCTGGAAGAAAAAAAAATAGAACAAAGAAAATACTTATTGATTTCAGAATTATGGACCTAACAACCTCCAAAAAAATGTATGCAGATTTCAAATCTTAATCTTTTTTTTTATTGTGAAAATACTGTACAGAGGGGTTACATGGGCAAGATAATGAGTACATTTCTTATCAAGCATTGTAGCCTCCTCCTTTTGTTTCCCCTTCCCATCCACCCCACCCCATTCCCCTTCCCGTCCCCCGCCCTCCCCCCCCACCCTGCCACCAAAGTTGTAAAGTTCGTTTTCGATATAACAACTTGTACATCTCATTGTTGCAATGGGTCCACCTGTATCCCTATTTAAACGATTTGTT